ATCAAATTTGGAACCACTTGCAACCCTTCTTCAGAAGACGAGGTTTTGGCTCCAGATTTTCCAGACAAACCTGGCAACAGATCAGAAAAGATTGATCATGACAGAAAACATCCCAAGGCATGATGCCCCTTGATTCCAGTGGGATAAAGGCTTCTCCACTTCAAGCAGGTCTGGATCCAGTCTCAGGCCGATCTCTGGACTGTGGAGTTAGTCACCAAAGGTTATAGAGTTTTCCAACCTTCCACCGGAATGCTTCATCCTCTCCCCGTCCTCCAAGAGAACAGACAAACAACTCAGAACTTTTCAGGCAATCCAGCACCTCTCCATCCAAGCTTTCAAGCTGGTACCATCCTCAGAAAAGGCTCACAGTGTCTTCTAAATTTAAAATTTCTTAACAAATTCATAAAGTTGAGACATTGCAGAATGGAAACTCTCTGGTCCACCACAGAGTCCTTACAAACAGGAGAATTCCTTACTTCCATATACCTAACGGGGGCATACCTGCACATTCATGTCTGCCTGAGCCACAGAAAATACCTTTATTTATTTATTAGACTTTTACCCCGCCCTCCCACCAAAGCGGCTCAGGGCGGCTTACAATAGTTAAAAAACAGTATACAATTATTAGAATATCAATTCTAAAACAATACAATCAATAAAATATCAAAATACAACTTATTAAATTTAAGATTAAGATGTGACGGCCATCTGTTATAAAGTGCTAGTAGTTATGTGGAACGGTCAGTGTGGTCGGACTATTAAAACGCTTGCCGGAACAGCTCGGTCTTTACCGCTCTACGAAATTGTTGAAGATCCCGCAGAGCTCGAATTTCATTTGGAAGCTGATTCCATAATATCGGTGCAGCTAGGGAAAACGCCCTAGTTCTTGTTGATGTTAACTTTGCGTCCCTAGGGCCTGGGGGGGGCAAGCGATTTTGCGACTCGGATCTCAGCGCCCTTGGGGAACATACGGTGAAAGGCGGTCCCTCAGGTAGACAGGCCCCAGACCATTTAGGGCTTTAAAGGTCAAAAACAGCACCTTGAAGCATATCCGGAACACTATTGGCAGCCAGTGCAGCGATTCTGTGTGGGACAGAGCGCTCCCATTTGGTCCGTCAGCAGAGCTGAGAGTCTTTTAAAAGGTTCTGATAACTCTGATTGTCAGTTTAAGAGAACGGGGGATTTGCATTCATCACTTTTTAGAAGACATACTGATCAGGTCCATCGCCAGAGACAGATCCCTAGTGGATACAGAGACTACTATCCAATGCCTACAAAATCATGGAGTCCTCATGAACGTGCAGAAGAGCTCACTGCAAGAACGGCTAGCAGACATCATCCTAGTGGCTCCCTTCTGGCCTTGGAGGCCATGGTTCTCAGCCCTGCAGGAAATGTTGGTAGAACCCTCTGGAAATTACCAGTGTCACTTGATATGTTACTGCAGGGATCCATCTGGCACCCGCAACTGGGATGGCTTTGTTTGACCGCCTGGAAATTGAGACGGATAAATTCATACATCTAGGATACAATACTGAGGTCACAAGACTCTCGTGGCCTCCAGGAGACCATCAACAAATAGGATCTACAACACATCATGGAAAGCATTTGTTTGCTGATGTAAAAGGGAAAAGGTTGATCCTTTGAGACCACCTCTCAGATCAATCTTAGCATTTCTGCTAGAAGGAGTGACAAGAGGACTCAAAGCACCTTCTCTCAAATGACAGTTTGCAGCCTTGGCAACGATCCTACCTCAAATGCACAGCACAAGCATTTCAAGGCACCCTCACATACGGTTTTCCTCTGGGGTGTGACCTTGAAGAACCCACTGCAGGTGCACAGTTTCCCAACATGGAAGCTTCACACAGTTCTCTCAGCACTCACTAAACCACCATTTGAGCCCCTCAGAGAAGCTGTGTTCAAATGGCGAAGGATGAAGACACTTTTCTCACAGCTATCACTTCCACCAGAAGAGTTTCCAAACTAGGTGTGTTGTCAGTTAAGCCCGAGCTCTGCATATTTCATAAGGATTAGATGATGCTGTGAACTCTACCTTTCATAGAGCTCAAAAAATATGTCTTCCTTCCTTCCTTCTTTGAAGAACCCACTGCAGGTGCACTGTTTCCCAACATGGAAACTTCACACGGTTCTCTCAGCACTCACTAAGCCACCATTTGAGCCCCTCAGAGAAGCTGTGTTCAAATGGCGAAGGATGAAGACACTTTTCTCACAGCTATCACTTCCACCAGAAGAGTTTCCAAACTAGGTGTGTTGTCAGTTAAGCCCGAGCTCTGCATATTTCATAAGGATTAGATGATGCTGTGAACTCTACCTTTCATAGAGCTCAAAAAATATGTCTTCCTTCCTTCCTTCCTTTTGCCCAAATCCAAAGCACCAAAAGGGAAAGGATACCCATTGTTTTAATTGTTTTAATGTTTTATTGTGTTTTAATGTTTAATGTTTTAAACTGAAATTGTATTTATTTCAATGATATTACCCTCCCTGAGCCCGCCCATGGGATGGGCAGGATATAAATGCAAATAATAAATAATAAATAAATAAGAAAGGTATGGGACACCCTGGATGTCAGAAGAGCCCTCAAAACGTATATTTGTCAGACTAGTCACATCGGGAAAACCAAAGCGTTATTCATGTCTATCTCTCTACCCAACACAGGGTATAAGATGTCAAAATCTGCCATTAGTAACACACTCAATTTAATTAATTTAATTTTATTTTATTGAACTTATATACCGCCCATGACCCCTAATGGGTCTCAGAGCGGTTTACACTGTACTACTATTATCTGTATAGTAGTTAATTAACCTACCTAGGGCCACACATTTCAGGGGGGGACTGCCTACCGACACCCTTGTTTTTGCGGCGCGTTCCATCTTCTCCCGGCGGGCTACAGGTATTGTTCAGGCGTCTTCAGGATAACCGGCGACCACCTCCGGCAGGCTCGATGTTTCCTCCTCAGCGTGCGACTGCTTCCGGCTGTAGCTTTCCGGCTTTACATCCCTCAGTCTCCTGCCGTGCTACGCCGTCTCGCACCCACATCGCCGTGGCTCCGCCTTCATCCGGTCTGGTCGCTTGCCTCCTTAGATCACCAGGAGCTCCGCTGCCATTGTTGTTACTGCTGCCGCCATCAAGGTGTGCATAGTCGAAGCATATAAGAATCACAAGCTTCTCATACCAATGGAATCTCAGCCCATTTGGTCAGGAGTGCCGCTATCAGTGCTGCATTTGCAAGGCATGCTACAGTTGAGGAAGTCTGCAAGGCAGCAACATGGTCCTCACTTTCCACATTCATCAGACACTACAAAATCAATATACAATTCAGCAGACAGTGTCTTCGACAGAAGAGTGTTGCAAAACATCCTAAGTGAAGATGACGATGACCCACCCCGAAACTGAGGACACTGCTCGGGGGGGGGGTCCCTCAGGATGTTCTCCACCTCAGAGGGAGATCGTACCATTGGATACTCACCGTGAAGAGTCCTTCTCCTCTGAGGAAAGGAGGACATCTTGTCCCTCCCAAAGTCATTGTCAAGCTAGATGCTCATCAGGTTCTCTTCCTGATTCAGCTGTTTTTACTTGCTTGCTTTTTCTTATCCATGTTATTGTGCTTGTCCATTGGTTCTTCTTTTAGAGTTGGTATTATAGTTGACCACTTTCAGAGATAACCAAACTGAGGAGAGTAACTCCCACAGACCGGAGACAAGAAGTTAAAATGTTTTCCTTTCCTCAGAGGAGACAGGCCCTTTATGGTGAGTATCCAGTGGTTCATTTTTTCCCTTATCAATGCTGTTGCTGGCCACAACTGTTGTTCATGCTCCACCCTCAGGGTGTGTCCAGCTCTGGCTCTTGTGCCTCTAGGCTCAGATGTGTTGCTGCCCAATTATTAGCGGCCGAGGGGTACAGGTGCTGCCACTGCTGTTGTTGCTTGAATGAGCGCTTCTTCCATTCTCTTTCCCACCCTTCAGTGAGCAGCCCATATCCTACAGCTCTGCCATGATTTGTTGGGCTGGGTAAGGAAGGAGCAGGAAGGCAGAAAATGGTAGACAGCTTGCTTCCCCCTTATTTTTCTTCGATAGTGCAGCAGTGGTAGCAGAGGATATATTTGGTAAAAATGACAATGAGTGCTTTGTCCTCTCCGTGACCTTCCACACATGCACACACTCCTTTCTCATGGCTTCTTGGAAGAGACTGGAGTCTTCCTGGTCACAGCAACATCCACAACAGGGAACACTCTGAGAACACCTGTGGCCCCATCCTGCATCAATGCTGGGGGATGAATGAGGTGGGTTGTGTCTCCCAGCTTCCTGATCTAGCCAGGGGAGAGTCAGCTGCAGGACACGTGTGGTACCCACAGGAGTGCCGTGATGGCAAATGGAGATGGATGAAGCATGCAAGCTGCCAGTCTCCTGGCTGGCAGCTGCTGCTCAACTCATGCAGGGATGTTTCAACAATACTTTCAGCTTTGATTGCTGATGTGGAGCAGAAACTGTCATACATGTTCTGTAAAGTACGTGTCTCCATGGAAGATGCTAGTGATAATGTGAACTGTTTTCCAACCACAAAGCTTTGTATGCATGCCATGGTGTGTTCAGCTGTATGCTAATGTGATATGATCCTAACATGCAATTTTAACAGTAACTAAGCAAATCTGTGTTGCACCAGCTGTTCCTTTGGAGCAATCTTTAAGGACAGTAAGAAAGTGGCTAGATTAAAACAACCATTTTGTTAACCATTTGAGGAATCTGCAGGTTTATGTACTTCCTCTTTCATGGTTCAAAGCTAGATAATTAAATGCTACTGTGGTAAACCATGGTTCGTTTTCACCAGACTGCAAGTTAGAGTTTGTACTTTGTGAGACTTCATATGAGTTGTTACTACTAGGGAAAGTTTACTGTTCATTATTGCAGTTTATATGGATGGTGATTTTCAATTCTTTGTAATACGTATGAACAAATAATTATGCTTTCTCTCCTGAATTACAGGAACTCCAGTTTCAAAGGCTCACCAGAGAGCTTGAGGTGGAAAGACAAATTGTTGCCAGTCAGTTGGAAAGATGCAGGCTTGGAACGGAATCACCGAGCCTTGCAAGCACAAGGTATGATCCTGCTGTTCTTACTTCCAGATGTTTTAACCAACTAAATACTTTGAATAAATTTTAGTTTTGTGTATTTTCATCCTATTATCTTAAAAGTCTCCTTTCTTTTTTTAATGTTTGGATATCACATTCCATATTGAGATGTGATTGTCACTTCAATGTTTGCATTCAGTTAGTTCGTGCTGCTGTTATATGACTTGAGTCTGCCCTACGGCAATGGGTTACAGTTGTATATTTCAGTGGTTTACTGCACTGGACCACATGTTAAGTGGTAAGTTGCCACAATGTAACCATGTGATAAGCTGGTCATCAACAAAGGGTCTTCATTTATTCATTTATTCATTCCGCGTTTTTATTGCAACTCTACTTGTACTGTAATGTATTTCAATGGAGCCCATGCAAGTCAATTGGCATTCGTAAGATGGCGACAACCCTGTGTTTTCTTACTTCTCCAGATAAAGCCAAATTTGAAGAATTTGATATTTCCTGCTTACACTGGTTAGATTTAGGAAGTGAATGGAAATGGAGCCATTGGAATTTCAAGAAAGCTCTATCTGGAAAAATAAATTCTATGACCTGTGTGAAACACTTGAGAAGATAGAAAGATTTCTTTCCTTACTTTGTTTGGATCATCTTATGCTTGTGAGCAGCTGTTTTCAAACAGACTAACAGATGACCTGAGTGCTGCATGTGTTGCTCTCAAACTTACAAAGTATGAGCCAAGGTTAGACAAATTATCAGCATGCATACAACAGCAAAAATCACATTAATTGTTGAAAAGCATGCCAAATGCAAACTTTTACCTTTCAATAAAAAGTTGTTTGTATTATTGAAAGCTCTGTTGTTGTGTTTTTCTTTTAAGACAAAAGATGTTAATGTATGAGTTGTTTTTTCTAAACTAAAACCTCAGTATTCTGGTTCAATTGCCGTGTTGGCCCTTTGCGATAAATAAGTGGGTTTTGGGTTGCAGTTTGGGCACTCGGTCTCTAAAAGGTTCGCCATCACTGCCCATGTCTCTGGGCAAGGGGGCGCATGTAGATGTTAAATAGCATCGGGGAGAGTACCGCCCCTTGAGGCACTCCACAATTTAGTGGGTGCCTTCGGGATAGCTGCTCCCAAGTGCCACCCTTTGTCCTCGACCCTGGAGAAAGGAGACAAGCCATTGCAAGGCAAGCCCCTGAATCCCCACATCGGTGAGACAGTGGGCGAGTAGCTGATGACTGACCATGTGGAACGCCACTGACAGGCCCAACAGCAGCAGCAGCACCGTCCCACCCCGATCCAGATGCTTCCGGAGGTCATCTGTGAGGGCGACCAGTGCTGTCTCCATCCCATGGCCTGGGCGGAAGCCGGACTGGAAGGGATCTAGTGAGGACAATTGTACCGCACCTCTCCTTTCCCAGACTTCCATTTGGAAGCAGGTGTGTTGGTAAAATTCTTCTTGATACATCACATGTTACCACGTGGTAAAGTGGACTATACAGACAGTTCACAGGTCAGGGTTTAGAGTTTGTCGTTTAGGCACTGCATAATACCGTGCAGATGCTTTCCATAGAAATGTAACGGAGATGCCTCTTGGTCCAGGATTTCAGTATGTCTTCTATTTGTTTATTGTTCAAGCTGGAAGGAGCTGGTGGTAATCTTTGGGCACCTAGTGTGTTCCAATAGTTTGTCTAAAAGGAGAAGAAAGATTTAATTCAGTGTGGCATTAGCATTGTTACTAATGGAATTCAGTCTGTTCTGGTGTCAACATAAGAATGAAGCTGCAGTGCAGTTCCATAAACCAGTTTTTTACTAAAACAAGAGCACACTAACTTCCTAGCTTTTCAAAACAAAGAAGAGTTGAGAAATACCTCTACAGAATTGTTTTATAAGGAACTTTATAACGTAGTTTAAAAACTATTGCTGATAGTCATCAGCTGCTGTATAATGAAGTCAGATTCAGCACCGTAATGATATTTTCTTTTCTTTTGGGACAATCCAAGTACTAAGACTGTCGTTGCAAAAAAAAAAAAAGAGCTTCAGGAACATAAGCTGATGAAAGAGCACCCGTCCTATTCTTTGTCCCATTTTTATAGCTTTGTTCTCTGCTGTAGCTCAGCCTACGAAGAGAAATGCTGTTATATCAAGTTTTGCTTAGAACAAAAGGGCAGAGCAGTATGTGGAGTATGTCTGTATGAATATGTGGACATATTCAATTATTGGTATTCTGAAACATTTTGTAAGACCAAATGCCACAGTTAGTAGATTTTTACTCCTTTGACTCATGGTTGGTTTTACTGTGTGATACAAGATATAACGTACAGAATTGATTAGAGACCCCATATGATCTTCTTCGTGGTCTCTGTGCATCACACCTATGGGATCCAGTGCACCTGCACTGATCCGATCAGTGTTGTACAAAGCTCACAACAGGATTTTCGCGCCTCCAACCCGAGTCTGCGCAGGAACCCCACTGCGCATGCCCAGGAAGGAGGAGTGTGGACATCCCACCAGTTCTTCTCTGACCACCACGCTGTTAACAGCTACTCTGTTGGTCGGTGAACTTACCTTATTTGCCTCACGTCGGGATCTTCTTCTGTCCTTTTTTTCTTCAATATATTCTTTCCCTCTTTTCTTCAGTCTCTGGGGGGGGGAAGAGGAAGAGAGGAGTTAGAACTTTACTCGGGCCTTTGGTCCCAACTTCCCCATCTCCCCTCCCTTCCCTCATGCCTGAGGTGTAGTATATGGATAGGAAAAAATGGGGGTGCTTCAAGAGGTGTGCTTCGTGTGGGAGTAAGCTAGCTCCTCGTGACCAACACACTATCTGCATTCTGTGCCTGGGTGAATCGCATTGGCCGGAGGCTTGTGCACTTTGTGCAAAATTTTCCAAACCCGCAAAAATTGAGTGGCGAGTCGCACTTTGAGAATCAGTGTTAGCCCCCTCAGCACCAATGACCATGTTGGCTGACCCTGCACCAAAGTCTTCGGTACCCTCATCGATGTCGACAGCTCCTGCATCGTCGGTTCCACCTCGACCGGGCAAGTCTGCTTCAAACAAAGGCCCATCTTCTTCGAGGAAACATATGTCCAAGTCCACTTCTTCTGCCTCCACACTGTCCAAGAAGAAGAAGAAGAGGGATGAGCTGGATAAGGAGAAGGCTAATAAATTCTCGAGTAAGGGCATGCAGAAGTCTCATATACTGAGCAGTGTCGTGATCCCTCAGGGCTCTGCACTGCCTTCCTCTTCACAGTCGCATCCTATGTCGGGGCAATCCTCCATACCGGAGCTGCCTAAGGTACAACCTACGCCACCTATCGAATTGCTGGACTCCCTGATCAGGCAGCTGAATCCCCCGGTGTTGGAGATGTATCTAGGCAACAAACTGTTGTCGATATCGACCTCCGAGGCCGATGACATGATTCTGACTGGTCTGCCTGAAAGGGAACATTCGCCTTCTGTCTCCTCTTGGGCCAGTGATTGATCACACCCCAACTGCAGATACCTGCCCCGAGATCGCTCCCACTCGCCCATCCATGCGGAAGATCGATATCGATGGGACGACTACCCGGACTGCTCCCGCTCTAGGCGCAGGATGTCCTGTTCGCCCAGGCGGGAATGTTTGCCCAGACGTGCTTCATTAGCTGGTTTGCCTTCCCGCCACCATCAGCAACCTTCGGTTTTCCTACCTTGGGATCATCGACATCACATGCCATACTGGTTTGGCTCTTACCCCCATTGGCTTCGATGCCCTGGCTGACGCCAGTGAGACTGAATGACTAGGACCTGCGCTGACGTAGATTGTGCTCTCCACAACGTAGACGTATACCATCCGCATCACTGTCTAAACCGCCAGCTTCCCCGCCTCCACGTCAGGTTTCTCCTAATGCCCTGGCTGACGCCAGTGAACTGAATGACTAGGACCTGCGCTCACGTAGATCGTGCTCTCCACAACGTAGACGTACACCATCCGCATCACTGTCTAAACCGCCGGCTTCCCCGCCTCCACGTCAGGTTTCTCCTCAGTGGCCCCCACCCACTCCTCCAGCACTGAAGAGTCCGAGGCTGGAGCCCCGTGTTGTCCCGATGCTGACCCAGGAACCTAAATCTCCTTTGGCATCTTCTCGAGAAGCTTCGGATGTTGACGCATCTGAGGATGACACTTCGCCAGACAGTCCCTCTCCTAAGCCTACAGTGTTTGAGGATCTTCCAATATCGCCTTCTGAAGACCTCTCCTCCTATGGTGATCTAGTTAAGCGTTAGCTAGACCTTTCCATTGTCCAACTTTAACCCTCGGTATCAGACACGGTCTTCGATGTCGTTCAACTAGATACATCGACCGCGATCTCCCTCCCCATGTTGACCGTCCTTCTGCAAGCAGCAATGGCACCGTGGGAGAAACCCTTGTCAGCTCCAGTATCATCCAGGAGGCTTGATCACATGTATAAAGTGCAGGAAGCTGGAGCTGAGTTTCTACATATCCATCCTAAGCCTAATTCGATGGTGGTATCCTCCTCCTCAAAAAATAAGTGCACACATACTACCCCTTCAGACAAAGAGAGTAGAAAGTTAGGCTCCTTCGGAAGACGGTTTTACACAGCAGGCGCATTGGGGATCAAACCCTCTAATTACATTGCCTGCATGAGCAGGTATCAATATGCATTGTGGGAACAACTTACCGAAATTTTACCATTTATTCCTGAAGATAAACATCAGTCAACCAGGAAACTACAAAAGGAGGGTTTGGGTTTGGCCAAGCAGCTCATTAATTCATCTAAGCATTCCCTGGACACCTTCTCGAAAACAATGTCATCGGCTGTGGCGCTTCGCAGACACTCCTGCCTCAGGACCACTTCTTTGCTGCCAGACACTAGGGCTTACATTGAGGACCTACCCTTTGATGGCTTCCACTGACGCTGCTCTTCAAGAGATGGACAAGCCCATTATCTATATTTCAGTTACTGCATATTTGTTGTAGAGGCACCAGGAGACGTTTGTCCAACAGGCCTTGCTTATGAGC